CGGGCAGCAATATGTGTGACTTATGCATGTGTGCTTTGAGTCCACTTAGAGGAAAGTGAATTTCTAATTCCACTTGCCAACGCTGCGCGTGATTTTCTTAGCTTATTAATACTGACAGATGGAGTGAAATGATTGGTTTATTATATATTAACGGTCAATTAAACCGTTGTGTCGTTAAATGGCGCGTGTGATAATATGAGCTTGTTTTTTTAAAAAAATGAAGTGCTAGTAATATTAAAACTAAAATTGGCTTATTTCCCCTATTTTTTAAGCATAATACATAAAGAGTTTATATAAATAGATAATTAAATTATGTTAAATTAATCAAATAAATATATGTATTATATATACATAGAATATTATGTTGAACATAACACTATTATATAAAATGAATGTATCCATTTGATACTGTTTTATGTATAAAATTAAATTAAAATTCATAATATTAATTGATATCAAATTAAATTTCATGTTTACATGTTATATATATACTTTAGGCTGAATGATGAGTTATTAAATTATAGCCGCCATATTAAGAAACTGGACACAGAAAAACAAAATGGGAAATTGTTATAGGCTGTAGCCCCATATTATTTTTTGTGCCTGCAGACTTCCTTATTTTTGTTAATTGGGAAAATAAATTGCTTTCTTTTTTTTCTGTTTTATTTAGACCAGAAATATAGGACCCAAAATTTCATGGCTTTATTATTTGGAAACAATTAATTAATAGTATATCTAATATATATATATATATATATATGTTCGATGAACACAGAGTCAAGAATTTCATAAAAAATGTTTAGAAATTAGTATAATAAATCATGAGGGCTTTTTAGCTAAGGAGGTGAAAGTATTGGACTATAATAGTTTGATAAGTTAAGTTTGTTTAATATATATTATTTAATTATTTCATATATTATTTTATTTATATATATACATAATAATTTTTTCGATAGACAATATCCTATTGATCACCCTAATCACTAGGGGTGTGCATCGGTCGGTTCAGTTCGGTTTTACATATAATCGGTTCGGTTAATCGATTTTCGGTTTTAAAATATGCTAACCCAATAACAAATCAATAAGAAATTTTTTATCTGTTTATCGGTTTTTGATGTTATCGGTTCGAAAATGTCGATCAAATAATATATAATAGTACGTATGTTATTAGTTACATGTTACCAACTTACCGCCAAAACATAATAGAAAATTTTGAATGTTGATCAAATTACTAACATTCACAAACTTGCAAAAGTTATCGCCTACAATTACGAACTAGAATTAAAACTAAAATAAAATATTTCAATGAGACAATCTTGAACAGTTGCTTGATCCACCAGATAATCAATAAAGTTCTCACCAATTTCCTAACCAAAAAATCGCATAGCATGAAAAGCTAATATTGAATCTATTTATGTATTAAATTATGTATATTTAATATTGAGGAAGGGTAAAGTAGTAAATTACTATCGTCTTATTGGGTTATCGGTTTACCCAATAACCCAATAGGAAAAATTGAAACCGACCCAATAACCCAATAATTATTTTTTCTTAACTCATTAAAAACTCAATAACCCAATAACATTTTATCGGTTCGGTTTATTGATCGATTCGATTTTTGCACACCCCTACTAATCACTATAATATAGATACATCACTATTTAATATTCTTCTAATCACTATAATATAAATACATCACTATTTAATATTCTTTAGATTTTACTTGTGGTATTACGCGCAGATAAAAATATAAATGCGCATATGTTGAATGTTGAAAAGGTATGTCGGTAGAACGTTAAAAACATCACATGGCTGCCAGTGCCTGCCACCATATATAGTTTAGGCAACTATATTTTGTCATTTTATTATTTGTAATGGTGACAACTCCAAAATTAATAAAAATAGAATTATTAGTATTAAGATATATACCATTAATAGAGTTCTAAATTATCTTATTAATTAATAAAAGAATTTTATTTCTTCTATCATTCTCTCTCTAGTTATGTGTGGTTTATTAAAAGAAAAAATAGGTTACTAGATTAATGAGATGTTTATAGTATCTTGTTTTATTAACTAAAAGAATAGATAAGAATATATATCATTTAATTATGATTAATTAGTGATAAAGAAATAAAATAAGAATCCTCTTCATTTTATATTAGTAATTAACTTCTTTTTTTTTTGGTAACTAAACTTTTATTAATTACCAGAATCTGCATTACAAATCATGCTACTATCACAGTAACATCAAACATCTTGGAAAAAAAACATACTACACTATCCCTATACTATTAGCTAAAGTTTTCAATTGAAATACATCTTTGAAACAATAGTAGAAATTCTAGCTATAGTAACACAAGCAATCTCTTTTGCTATACTCTCCTCCTTACTACTTTTTTTCTCAAAAATTCTATTGTTCCTCTCTATCCATAATCCATATATGCCTTCTGTAATCACTGTTTTGAACCTTTGAGTTGCAGATCTCTTCCCCTTTCTATGTTGGACACGCCATTGTTGAAACTGGTCCCAGGCCATTGGTACAGAGCCTCGATGCTTTAACATTCTCATTAAACTCTCCCATAACATCCTTGCAAACTGACATTGTAGAAACAGGTGCTCAGTAGTTTCATCTGCCTTCTTACATAACACACATGTTTTATCTACTTCAAGTCCTCATCTAACTAATCTATCCACAGTTGATAACTTTTGGTTCATCATCAGCCACATTATGATATAGGCCTTTGGTCTTGCTGCATTACTATACATGAGGCATGTCCATGCTGGCTTTTGTTGTCTTCCTATCATGTGGTGGTAAACTTGTCGTAGGATACCTTTTCCTTTACTTTGTTCTTGCTGAAGTTGATCAACTGTTACCTTTGCACTCATTATTTTCTGAACCATCCAGCTTGCATTGTTACTCTTCTTCCATTCCCTCTGTCCTTTTATATAATATGCATGAATCCACTTTATCCACAGCTTATCTTTTTTGTTTGCTAGATCCCAGCATAGTTTAGCTATTGCTGACCTGTTCCACATTTTCAGATTGATCAGTCCTAAACCTCCTTCATACTTAGGACTGCACACTTTGTCCCAAGCTATTAGAGCTTTCTTTGTTACATGTCCCACACCTGACCATAAGTAACTTCTGCACAATCCCTCTATCAACTTGATAATCTTTGCAGGTATAATAAACAGTTGTGCCCAGTATGCTTGTACTCCAAATAGAACAGTTTTGACTAGTTGAGCTCTTCTTGCATAAGACAACTTTTTTGCTGTACAAGAGTTGATTTTTGCCATGACTTTCTCTATAAGTGGATACCATTTGATTGTATTCAACTTCTTTGATGACAGTGGTACCCCCAAGTATTTAAAAGGCAGCTCTTCTATTGTGTATCCAAGTTGTTGGGCAATTTGCTGTCTCACATCTATCTGTACTCCACCAAGATTGAGCTCTTGTTAAGATTAGCTTGCAACCCTGAAGCTTGAGAGAACTCAGTGAAACACTTCTGAAGAGCCTTTATAGAATTTATGTCCCCTCTTGAAAACAGCAGCAGATCATTTGCAAAGCACAAGTGAGTCACATCTAACTTTGCACATTTGGGATGATATTTGAAGCTCTTGTCTTCTTTGAGACCTTTAAGCAACCTGCTGAGATACTCCATTGCTATAGTAAATAGAAAAGGTGACATTGGATCCCCTTGTCTAAGTCCTTTAGCTGCATAAAATCTTTGAGTATTCTGACCATTAACAACAATAGTGTAGTTCACTGTTTTAACACACTTCATTACCCATTGAGTGAATAAGTCAGGAAAACCCAATCCCTCCATAACTTGTTCTAGGAATGGCCATTCTACAGAATCATAAGCTTTTTGTAAATCAATTTTTAGCATACTCCTAGGAGAAACATTCTTCCTTGTGTAAGCCTTAACCAATTCATGAGCTAAGATAATGTTATCTCCAATTTTTCTCCCTGGGATGAAGCCTGCTTGGCTATCACTGATAATAGTATGGATGACTTTATGCAATCTTTGAGTAATCACCTTTGAGATGATCTTATACAATACAGTGCAGCAAGCAATAGGTCTGAACTCTTTCACATTCTTTGGGCTGTGAACCTTAGGAATCAGTGATACAAGTGTGCAATTAAATGGTTTAAAGAGGTTTCCTGTGTTGAAGAAACTTTTAACAGCATCGATAACATCATGCTCAATGACCTTCCATGTATGTTTAAAGAAAAAGGCATTATATCCATCAATACCTGGAGCCTTATCATTCCCTATGGACTTCAAAGCTTCTACTATCTCTTGATCAGTTATTGTTGCACAAAGCTGGATTCTGTGCTGTCTTGATAGAACTGGTCCTCTTTTCATCACCTTAGTGTTTATAGCTGGTAGTCTAGCTGCTGCTGTGCCCATTAAGCTCTTATAAAATGAGACAAATTCATTCTGAATCTCTTGGGGTTCATAAAACATCCTTCCATCTAAGGACATCAAATTTCTGATGAGCTTCTTATTATTTCTCTCCTTTATCACTGAGCTAAAATATTTATTGTTTGCATCTCCCAACTTAATCCACATTGCTCTTGCTTTTTGCCTGAGTGCATTTTCTTCTAACATAGACCATTTTTCAAGCTTTGTAAGGATTTCCTTTTCTTTACCTATCAAATCATCTTTAGCTTGATTACTGAGTTGATTCTGCACTTCTGCAAGCTCATTTCTAGCTTCTTCAATCTGTTTGCTAATGTATTTGAATTCTCTATTATTCAACTGCTTTAGGACATGTTGAAGGGACTTCAGTTTGTTCCACACCATCTTCATTGAGTCCTTTCCTTTCTCCTGTTTCCATACTTTCTCCACAATGTCCAAGAAGGATTCATGCTCAGTCCATATATTAAAAAACTTAAAGTGTACTTTTACTTGCTGGTAAGTTTGATGAAGTATCAAATGCATTGGACTATGATCTGAGACCCCTGGATTGCCATATTCTAGTATGACATGCCCCTATTTATCCATCCAATCCTCATTCCCAAAAGCTCTATCAATCCTGCTTGAAATCCTTGCATTACCACTCTGCTTGTTGTTCCATGTATAGTAATTACCTTTCCATTGCACCTCATTAAGACCCATGACCTTGACACAATTTGAGAAATCTTTTATCTCATTCTCATTGACAGGAACTCCAGCTAACCTATCTTTGGGAGACAACATAGCATTAAAATCTCCTACAATAATCCAAGGGTGGTTAACATTTTGTCCTATCTGGATCATATCACTTCACAAACTCTTTCTTTGCTCAATGGTATTAAATCCATACACAACTGTGAGATGAAATTGGAATCCTTTGCTTCTTTCTTGTATATAACAATGTATCATCTGAGCTGCACTTGTAATCAGCTTAACCTCATACCAGCTATCATCCCATATAATCCATATTCTCCCATGTACTGCATCTTTGTAGTTGTTCAAACAGTTCCATCCTGCAGCTATGTTATTAATTGTTGTCCTAGTATTGTTCTCTTTAACTCTAGTTTCAATTAAGCCAGCCAAAGTAACTTTATTATTCTGTAAACACTTCTTTATTTCCTTCTGCTTATATCTCTTATTCATGCCTCTAACATTCCAAAAGGTCCACTTCATTAGCAAGATTTTGAAGTTCCACCCCTATCCATAGGCAATGACACCAGTTTGCTATTCATTAGACTCTCAAAACCATTCCTTATAGGTATAGCTGATAACATTGGAAAGTTTGACAGGCTAAAATTCCAGCTGAGTGTTCCCATTGTTAGGCCTTAAGCTTATTTCTAGAGTTTGGATTACCTGATCATTCCTTATCTCATTTTCCTCTTCCTGTACAGAATGAGGTTCATCTTCTTTGATCTCTACACCTTTTCTTTGTTCCACTACCTTCCCCTCTGTTGAATAGGCCCTTTATACTGCCAGGCCTGTGTAACTTTTTTCCAGGGCCTTCTCTTCTTTGGCTGTTCCTCCATTGCTGTATCTTGACATTGATGTCCAATTCTCTGACATTTATCACAATATACAGGCTTCCATTCCATCACCACATCTTGCATAAATGTTCTACCATTTGGATCCTTAACTACTATCTTCTCAGGCATAGGTTTAGTTACATTAACCTCAATCAACATTCTAGCATAGGAGATTCTAGTCTGTTTAGTGGTACATTCATCAGCAAACAATGGCACACCTATTGCACTAGCTATGCGACTCAGAGATCCAGCTCCCCAACAATTTAATGGCAATTTTGGAAAGTTTACCCATAGTGGTATTTCAGTTAGGAACTCTTTACCAAACTCAAACTCAGCACTCCATTGTTTCAGTATTATAGGTCTATTACTAATCGTATAAGGCCCTGAGTATAGCACTTCATTCATGTCTATCAAGCTTTTAAACTTGATTATGTAGTATCCTTCATCATGAAGAAACACCTCAGGCTTCTCCCCTTTCGACCAGTTCATCATTCCATATCTATTCATAGTATTAAAACCAGGACATTCACCAATTACATGTGCTATTAATGCATATTTCCATTTGTCCTCTTCAACCTGTACTTCATCACTTTCAAGTTGCACCATGGTTTGCCCATTCACTATTTGTGGAGGGAAGTACGTCAAGTTCATTCTATTATTAGCTACTCGATTATTTTTAAACATGTTAACTCATGGTTCCTTCCTCTTCTCCTCTACCTGATCTCCCTTACTTCCAGTTACTGTTTCATTGCCTTCCATCTTGCTCCCATCCTCAGATTGATCTAGATCTGAGTTGTTGTGATCATCTTCCTTCTCCAGTGAATAGTTTAAGCTCAAATTTCTTGTGGTTTTTGAAGTCACAGAATGCCCAGCTTCATAACTACCTTCCACATTTGGAGCTTGTTCTACCTGATTTTCCTCTTTTGCTTCCACACGAGCTCCTACTGAGCTACCAACTGTCAGTATTGCTGTTTTATGTCCTCGTCCTCGCCCTATACCTCTTCCTCTCGCCATTTCCACCTTCACTGCGCACGTTAACGTACGCCGAGAGCATTTGGAGAGGATGAAGTTATTATTTTATTTTTTATTTTTATTTTTTATTTTTTTTTATTTTTTCCAAAGTATGAATAGGATTTATAAACATTACCTCATTCAAATAGGATTTGTTTATATGTGATATATTTATATAGAGGGTATTGAAAAAGGTTTTATAACAAGTTTAAAAGAATGAAAAATATATTATTAAATAAATTGTCTTCTTGTTCAGTTTATTGAAAAATCTTTGATTATTTATAGGTTTCGTATTTTTTTGGAAAAATATTTAGGAGATCGTATTTTATATTGCAATTTATTTTATGAAAATATATAATTTTTCATTAATATAAGTGGTCAATAATTTTATTCCCAAACACTAATCATTTTCTTGTCTTTGTTGAGATCGATTTGAATGTAGATTTTTGATGAATTTCTATATCCACATATTTACAGTTAAATATCTGCTACTAGGGTTCCTAACATGTCCCTAAGCTCTAGAATCTACAAAATATCTTTTCAACTCAACGAATGTTAAAGCTATTTAGAGTTGGTATTTCTAACTAAGTCGACAGGAGAGAATGCTTCCTTGGTTTGAGAAGAAACCAAGCCAATATATACGATAAATGAATAAAAGACCCAATTTTATAGCGTCCGCCGCTTAAGAAACACAAATTTGGTCAAGAATTAAAGAGGAGAGGTGGAAGAAAAGACTCGAAATGAATATTATAGGCGGTGAGAGTCGCACTTACGATAACGAGGTCAGGGGGTCAAGAGGAAAAATTGTACATTTTTGTTGATGATCGAATAGTTCCATTCACTAGTGTCTTAACACAAACAAATATGTGCCTTATTACATTATAATAATTAATCTCCTCAAACTTGTTTATTTTAAGTTTATTTAATTATTTTTTATAGGATAATCTCAGACAAGGTTTGGCATCATAACGTAAAGATTATGTGTTACTTGTGGGATGTGGCACTTGAAATCTTTGACTGCAATTAGATATGATATTTTTGTTGAATACTCTAGATTATTAAAAAGACTGAATAAATAAATTAAAGTTTGAAAAGCTAAGTCTTTTATTTATTTATTTTTAAAATAAAATAAAATAATGAAGCACTGAAATTTGCTGACTAAACTACAGTATCAACAATATTAAACAAAATTTGAGTAATTAAAAATCAACTTGCCTCTACCGTTTCAATGTACGGACTTGTTTAATATGATACTGTTGGGTTTTAGCAAGTGTGAATAGGAAAAGAAAAGAGAAAATATGAAAAGTGAGGGGATTACTTTGAAGGAAAAATGAAAAGTCATTTGCAAAGTGCAAATGAAAAGTCATTTCTCTCATATCGGCAAAAGAAAAGAAAATTATTGTCTTTATAGAAGGAAACACTTCCATTATTCTTAAAGAGCTAAGAAGATTATTCTTAAAGAGCTAAGAAGATGCCCCTTGCGCCGTCGTCGTCACGTTAATTTCCAACAATTTTTTAAAAAACTGAAAATTTTTCCTTCTCTGCATTTATGTTTAATCTGTTTTATGTTTTATCTTGGGAGAAATTAATTCATAACCTTGGATACAGTAAGGGGATTAAATTTCTTAAGGATACACAGTAGTTTCTGTAAATTCAGATTAATTCTTGTATTTTATATTTTTTCTGCTTCATTTTATTTCTGTTTCTGTTTGTTAAGCTTATAAATACAGGTTATTGTAAGAATAACAGATACATATTTCACAATTTTACAAAATATATTTAAAAAATAGTAATTTGGAATTTCTTTTCTCATAAAGAAAGAGAAAGAAGAAGAACTTATTATAGTCTTTCTTTATAATTTCTTTTTTCAATCTACTAATGATCAATTTTTATTTATTTTTTGACCAAAAGGAATATAATTAATGATACTTAATCTATGTCTGAACAGAATTTTATATTAATTAATGACCTTCCCTTCTTTTTCCTTTTTCCCTTTAATTTGTGGAAAGTAAGTGTGGTAAAGAGATTCTTTTTTCTCCCAAAAATATGCAAAAAATAAAATAAAATAAAATATTAAGTTAAAAAGAATCTTAGCCTTTAAGTTATTAGTCAACATGACTCATGTTCTAACGATAAGTGAAAAGGTTAAAGGAGAAGGAAAAAAGAGATAAAAAGGGTGTGTTTTTTTGGTAATAAAGGGAGAAAATATTTTTCTGAAAAAAAATAACTTTTTAAATTTATTTTATAATTATCAAGTAAAAGAAAATTATTTTACAAATATTTATATAGTATCATTTAGATAAACATTATATTAGTGGAGAGGAAAGTGTAAGTATGGGTGGATAGGTTCGTTTTGTGATTGAGTTAGAATTTTAACTAAACTATCAGAATTTTAAGAACGTAGAAATTAAGAAGAATCAATATATCATATGTGTATTAAAAAATTTACTTGATATATAATATTTTTTTCGACAAATTACCTATGAAGGTGAGAAAAATGTAGGCGGGTAAGACAAAAATGAACTTATTTTTTTTCTATTAATATTAGAAAAGTCATTTTCTTTAAAATTTATATTTTGGGGGAGGGGGGTAGAGCATATTCTACAAGTTCTACAAGTTCTAATGAACCTATTTTATATATTTTGTAAAAGGTAAAAGAAAAAATGACTTTTAAAAAAGTTACTGTACTTTAATTTTTGGCTCCACTTTATAACGCAGATAAAAAATTGTTTTTGAGTATAATAAACAAAATATACATATAATCCTTTTATGGGGAATCTATTTCTTACACTTTTTAAAAAAGAGCATCTTGGAATTGGATTTTCTAACTAGACACAAGAATATAATCCTATGATGGAGTATATCATAAAAAATTAAATTTATCAATAAATTTTATCATGATACATGATAAATTATTGTAGCTAAGACACTTCTTACTCAAGATTTTTTAGAAAAAGTTTTGTACATATTCTCAAACGCATATCAAATATCTAAGTTAAATACATAAAATATATTATTTTTATAAATTATATATATAAATCTTAGTTAAAACATGCTTAAGAACGTACAATTTATTGAATTTAATGACAGAACATCATACGTGAAATCTTTATCATATAATTACACGTGTTCAATTAAAATAAATCACCATTTATACTATATTATTTAATATAATGTAAAATTTATCAAGTAATCACGAACCACACACTCTCTTCATGAATAAACTAGGGGCCCGTTTGGCATAAATTTTCCAAATAATATTTGGGAAAAATTTGGCAAATAATGTTTGTCCATACAATTTGTCATTATTTGGCAAATATTTTTGGCAAATATCCCAAATTTTCAAATATTAGGTTTTTCTAGTATTTTGGCCAAATATCATTATTTGGGATATTTTAAAAATTAAAATTTTACCCCAATCTTTTATCTTTTACAAAAACACCCTCTCTAGTATTTGTTTACGTTGTATTACATCATTTTTTACGTGAACACCAAAATAGTGATGAAATATTTAGTGAATATTAAATAATGATATGATTGTTGATGAAAATTATTAAAAATTGGCTTTAAGTAACAAAGTCATGTACTTTATCTACTTCACGATGTATGGAATAATTCTTGTTGCACTCACTCCAAATTACCACATTGCTTCAGTGTCATGGACATTATTTGTTATTGTTGTAACTAACATTCAATTGACTTGCAATACAAACTTTTAGTTAGTTTTGATAGTTTTTAAAACTTGTGTGTATAAATCATATTTTTCTAAAAAGGTGAAATATATTCCCAAATTTTATGGCCAAACACATGGTGAAATTTCACCCGAATTTTCACTCAAATAATATTTCCCAAGAATATTTGGAAATCTATGGCCAAACGCTAGCTAGAAGTGAATAAAGAATTGAGCAGAAAAGAATAGCACGCTAACATAAATAAGTTTTAATTGAGCAGAAAAGAATATATATTATCAAACTAAAAATTGATAATTAAAGGAATTAAATAATGCCATTGAAAATAAGTGAACACACATTTAATGATAGTTATGCTAGTATGGTTAATGCTTTTAAGTAGTTGTTTTTTTCCCAACCAATAAGGAAATCTTAATGACACATCATCTCAATGAAATAAATTAATTCTAATAAGTAAAATGTTTTGTGATAGAAATAATTTCTTATTTAATACATGACTCAAACTTGATAATTCTCATGAAAAAGATAAAAAGGGAGGTTTTCTCCATTGTTGTGATCATATAGAAAAGTTTTTTTTTTTTTTTGCCTTTTGTATAGATAAGAGCATTGACAATTAAAAAAACACTTGACAATTTCGTTTAGTTTTCTTTTTTCCCTATTTGGTTTTTGTCATCTAATAAAAAATCATCATTTCATGCCAATTTGTTTGAAACTTTTAGTCCAATCATAGTCATTTTGATTATGAAATCTATCGATATCTACTATTCCCTTCATTTTAAATTAATTGAATTATTGAGATTTTTTTATTTTTTAATTTAATTATTTAGTTTGCAAGATAATTTTTAAAATATTATTCTTTATTAATTAATTAATATATTTAGTTATTTTAGTCATAAATTTTACAAT